AAATCGCACTCTCGCCTGCATTTCGCGCACTCGACCCGCACGATCTCCGCGGAGGGCTGCGCGCACACCAGACAAATCGCACTCTCGCCTGCATTTCGCGCACTCGACCCGCACGATCTCCGCAGAGGGTTGCGCGCGCATGGGACGCATGATCTCCGCAGAGCTTTGCGCGCACACCGGACAAATCGCACTCTCGCCTGCTTTTTTCGCGCACTCGACACGCACTGCATTTCGCGCGCTCGACCCGCGCGATCTCCGCAGAGGGTCGCGCGCACACCGGACAAATCGCACTCTCGCCTGCATTTCGTTCCCTCAACGTGCACGATCTCCGCAGAGGGTCGCATTTTCGGTTGACGCTGTTCGTCCCACCCTCCGCCTTTAAAGAGATGGAGTAGGTGCTACTACCCACTCGCCAGTTCTCATGTTCCAAGTCACCAATTCTCCTCTTCCAGCTGCCCAGATACTCCGCATACTACAGTAGTCCAACCAAGTCGCCAGTTCTCATCTTCCAGCTCGCCAGAGACTCCGCCTACTACAGTTGTACTACAACGTCGCCAGTTCTCATCTTCCAGCTCCCCAGCTTCTCCGCGACCCAGATACTCCGCGTATAAAGTTGTACTACGACGTCGCCAGCTCTCATCTTCCAGCTCCCCAGATACTCCGCGTACTACAGTTGTACTACCAAGTCACTAGTGGTACTCCGCGTACTATAATTGTACTACAGAGTCGCCACTTCTCATCTTCCAGCTCCCCAGATACTCTGCGTACTCAAGTTGCACTACCAAGTCGCCAGTTCTCATCTTCCAGCTCTGCAGATACTCCGCGACTCCGCCTACTGAAGTTGTACTACCAAGTCGCCCGCCAGTTCTCATCTTCCAGCTCCCCAGATACTCCGCGACTCCGCCTTCTGAAGTTGTACTACGACGTCCCTAGTTCTCATCTTCCACTTCGACGTCCCCAGTTCACTAAAGTTTTACTACAAAGTCGCCAGTTCTCATCTTCCAGCTCCCCAGCTACTCCGCGTACTACAGTTGTACTACAAAGTCGCCAGTTCTCATCTTCCAGCTCCCCAGATACGCGCGCGCATGGGACAAGTCGCCCTCTCGCCTGCTTTTCGCGCACTCGACCCGCACGGTCTCCGCAGAGGGTTGTGCACGTATGGGATAAATCGCACTCTCGCCTGCACTTCGCGCGCTCGACCCGCACGATCTCCGCAGAGGGTTGCGCGCGCATGGGGCAAATCGCACTCTCGCCTGCATTTCGCGCAATCGACCCACACGATCTCCGCATAAAGGGTTGCGCGCGCATGGACCAAATCGCACTCTCGCCTGCATTTCGCGCACTCGACACGCACGATCTCCGCAGAGGGTTGCGCGCACAGGGGACAAATCGCACTCCTGCATTTCGCGCACTCGACACGCACGATCTCCGCAGAGGGTTCCGCGCGCATGGGGCAAATCGCACTCTCGCCTGCATGTCGCGCACTCGACCCGCACGATCTCCGCAGAGGGTTGCGCGCACAGGGGACAAATCGCACTCTCGCCTGCATATCGCGCACTCGACACGCACGATCTCCGCAGAGGGTTGCGCGCGCACCGGACAAATCGCACTCCTCCTTTTCGCGCACTCGACCCGCACGATCTCCGCAGAGGGTCGCGCGCACACCGGACAAATCGCACTCTCGCCTGCATTTCGTGCCCTCAACACGCACGATCTCCGCAGAGGGTTGCATTTTCATTAGAACATCTCCCTGAAAGTTTTCAATACTCACACTTGCATACTTGCACTGGGATACTTACACTTGCATACTTGCACTTGGATACTTACACTTGCATACTTGCACTTGGATGCTTTCACTCTTACACTTACACTGGGATACTCATGCTTTCACTCTTACACTTACACTGGGATACTTACACTTACAAACAAACTTTCACTTGGATACTTCTGTGCCATTGTGAGTATAGAAGTGTAAGTGTTCAAGTGTAAGTGTAGAAGTGTAAGTGTAGAAGTGTCAGTGTTCAAGTGTAAGTGTAGAAGTGTCAGTGTTCAAGAGATTTTCCGGAAGAACCCTTCGCAATGCTTTCGGGAAAAAACTGCCTATATAGAATCAAGAGTTCAGGTCTGCATACCTCCAAAGCCTCAGGACCGAAGTCTTGGAAGAACGTCTTCAAAAGCTCTCACCTCTCCACGGAAGACATGGCCCAGGTGGCCATTGCCTCAGTGGTCCGAGTCTGATCGTTTGGGAGCGACTTGTGCGGGACTCGTGGGCGTTCGTAACTCTGCCGAACGAGTGTGGCAGAGACATGTTTTGCTTTTGAGTTCGCCATTAGGGAGGCCATTACTACTAGTACCAAGAAGCTACTGCTGGAGGCCATCGCTCTTAGTGGGAGAGACGTGCTCTACTTTTGACCTTTCAAACCTTTGAGGTGCCACAATGCATCCTTCTTCCTCCAATGGTGGGGATCAAGAAGGCACCGTCTAAAGGCGGTCAATCGGAGTTTGTGTGCCTTGCCCTCAGTTGGTTCCACATTGTCCACCTATCCTTAACTAGACTTAGATCCCATGCCAATCTTCTTAACCCTCTAGCAGCCTCTCCATGTGTGAACAAACGCTACGTGCTGAGGAAAGCCTCATCCCCTCACCCAACCACAAGGGCACAAAAACATGGTTGCCATTGCCTTCCTACTCTTCCTCCCAATCTTCGAGATCAATGCTGCGGAGGTGATTTTTACATCTGAGGAGTCAACACTTGGAGCACAGGATCTCGCACCTGTCGATGACACGGTCAGTCGTCGTATGGGTTCCTTTAGAGCAACAAGTTCCTTCATGCATTTGAACGCCCTCACTGTACACAAGAAAATGAAAACTAAGATCATTTGTGATCCACAGTCGCATCATTGAATCTGCCCTGAGCATTGGTCAATTGATTGTCACTTGATTTTGTCCGATTCTTGATCCCTGCTACAAATGAAAGATATGGCGAAAAATGGGAAGCTATGCAATGCTACGCAGGTCTCTCAGGACCTCACTCTTCAACCGCAGTTGCCGCAGTTACTTCGTCAATACTTTGTTGAGATCTGCGAGACATCTTTCTAGTCTAGACTCTAACATGTCCATCTCCTCCAACATTCCACTGCCATCAGGGTATGACATCATAATGAGGTCACTATGAGATTCTGCGCTATCTTGGATGACCTTCTTGCAAAGCTCAGGGTTTGGGTCGCTGCAAGTGTCTAGACTCTGCCAGCCAAGAATGTAGTAACTCATATTGCTGCCCTCACGTACATTGGAAGTAGCTGTAAATCACCAGATTTGGGGAACTGTGTAAAATACTTGCGTCATCCCCTGCATCTTCGGCGACAAACTGGTTGGAGGTTGGCAACTTGGGGTAGTTTGCGAGTGTTTGCGCCAGTGACCTGGTCAAAGGACTGCAGCCGATTGCAAAGCTGCGGACTCATGTTTCTGTCTAAACCTTGAGCAATCAACGGATCGTTCCGTTCACTTGGCACCACATTGACAACTCTGTCCGAAAGAAAGCAATGCCCAATCCTCTCCTTCGACCATCGGCATCTCTCTGCTCGTAGACAGCATCCTGCGGTTGGATGTCGAGCGGGGTGAGTGAAAAGGCTGAAGGGCATCGCTACTAGGAGCAAGAAGCTACTAGTAGCTCCCGGCCTTACTACTAGTAACGAGAAGCTACTAGTAACAAGGGCATCGCTACTAGTAGCTGGAAGCTACTAGGTTGGAGGCCATCGCTATTAAGTTGAGGCCATCGCTACTATATAGACAAGTAGCAACATGTTCTTTCTTTATCCCAGTCAAAATGCTGAAGCTATCTGGAGGTCTGTGGATTCGGATGTTACATGCCGAACATTAGAAAACGACTGAACCCTGAATCGACCAAACCTGCAAAACAACTGGAGGCCCCCACCTTGACATTTGTCCAAAAGCCAGGCCAACCGCAGCCGCACTCGAACTTCATCTTCGAGGTGTACAAAGGCACCTAAAGCAGGGCCCAAAGGTTGTCTCCTTTTCTCCTGCTGGAGCAAGCTACTAGTAACAGAGGGCATCGCTACTAGGAGCAAGGACGCTACTAGTAGGTCCTGGCAATACTACTAGTAACAAGGATGCTACTAGTAACACAGCGCATCGCTACTAGTAACAAACGGCAATACAAGCTTTCATCAGTTTCTCTTCGCTCCTTATGCTTTGTGTCTAAACTATGAGTCAACTCGAGGAGAGCAATGCTTCAAGCTCCTCCCTCAAGGTGATACAGTATACAGTATATTTCATGCATCTCCAGCTCAATCAACAAAGAATGGTCACCCTTCGGTCAGCCTGTTGCCCAGCAGCATGGCAGCCGGCACAAAGGTAAACGCCCTCCTCTTTGTGGTCGTCAAAGCCTGGCAGTTCTGTAGCTCCGGTTTGCACCCTGGCTTTTGCAAAGCCCGAAGGAAAGAAAACATGCAGAATGCAAAAGGACAAAAACCATTGAGGACATTTGAGGACCAACCAAAAGTTACACAATCTACTATACATAACACGTAGTGTCGTGGTTTGAGGGTTTTCAAGGTATGACAGACGGAAATCAGCAAGGTGAATCGTTAACATCATCTCAATCAAAAGCCATCAAACATTCGCTCAACAACTTCATCGGAAATCTGCATTTGTCATCTCAACATCCCCACCTTCAGGGAACTTTATGCGATGCCCAGGCTCTGTCGCCTTCTTGCGCAACACCTGTCTGTGCAACGCGAGGCGATGCTGCGAAGATCCAACCAAGTGCTGCGGGATAGAAATAGGTTTTGCCTGGGGATTGTTTGGTACACTTGGTGCACCATTTTTCTGCGACTGCCTATTGTCAAAAACACTGTGCGCAGCAGGACTTCTTGATCTTCTGATCAATCAAGCAGCCAGTAGTCAAACAAAGCTGAGCGTTCAATAGCCCTCTCTGTGCTGCACAATCCCTTCCTTGTACACATTTGCCCGCAACTTCGCCATCCATTGGTCCTCAGGCAACCTCGGCCATGAATATACTCTGAACAAACCTTGCCAATCCCGAACAACTCAAAGCCCACACGCCCCACCTGTGGATGACTCCCCTAATCTTCTGCTTCGAATCAAACGATTTTTCTGACCTCTCAAGACTCCAGAAAAACAAACCAAACCACTCAACATGTTCTGGCAAACTGCAGACCATGAAGCCTCACATCCACATTTGCGGAACCCAGGAAGCTGGAGCCTTTCGAGCTTGGGGCCTCGCACGGCCGTGCTGACGGCGAAGTCATGTCAGCGAAGGGGTCATCAAAGTTGTCCATCCGTGTGAAATGACCGTCTCAGTTTTCACTACCCAAAGCTGCCGGAGGTCATCTAGAAAAAATGACGGCCTCGGATTTTTAAACGGGGTGCAAGTAGTTTCATTGCAGGCTGGCTTCGGCAACTATCAACGCAACATAATGCAATTTGAGTGGCATCAATCAGTACTTGAAGAGGATTCGAACGTGTGGACCTTTTCTGTCGTGCGACACTGCCAGGTATGTGATTAATGCATTTTTTCTTGGTTCCCGCTCGCTATGTGGCACAAGTTCTTGCAGTTGACAGTGTGCTCAAACAACGCTCAGCCATATTGGAAACCAGTTTGAACCGAGGATCTCCCCGGCTCATCACGGGCCTCACATGCTCCATCACGCACAAACTGTTTCTACTCTCTAACTTGGACATGGCAGGAGTTTCTGCTGTAGCTGTTGTCCCTGTAGTGAGCGGCTCCCTTGCATCAACAAGGTGAATACAGCAGTTGCTTGCAACCGCCTGCATTTTCTGGCGGGTTTCGTTTTGCAAGACGTTCCGTGACAGCTTGAAGTCTTGCGCGCATAGCCACTGCACATGTACGCGTTTGGCGTTCCGGCAAGGTCAACGACTCCACACGACAAAGCGAGCAATACTTAGGAAGAAGGATGCTACGAACGGAACAAAGAGCGCGAACGGAGCAAGGACGCTGCTAGGGGCGCTCCTGCTACTTGCGCCTGCCACAAGCACTTTCAACTGCCCCAAGTTGGTTGCCTGTCGCGAAGATTCAACCCATCCTCCGCTTTGAGAGATTTGCACAGCACCGGCTTAAGGCAAAAATTGACCAAGCCGCCTCCACGACCAGGAGTAGCGATTCCATGTTGATGGTGAAGGAAACAAGCTCTGGTTCGTCAAGCTTTCTCAAAGTGAACAGCCAGCGCAGCGTGATGTGCACCGTTTGGTGAGTGCAGAGCTTTCGAAGAGCGATGCAGTGGGCCAGGCGTGCTGCCAGCGGAGTCAAGCACATGTTGAAAGAGCCCATGTCCTTGCAGTTCTCCTTTGGCGCCACTTGCATCGCAGGACACAGATCTTTGCAACAAAAATCTCCAACACCAAAACACTGTCCTGAGCCCCGAGCTAGCACTCATCAACAAACCATCAGATGCCAAACTCCAATTTCATGGCCATCCAATTTCAACACTGCACTGGCGCATCCACCCAACAGTATTTTTTGGCAACATTGCGCCATGGACAGCGCTGCAGCATCTTCACCAGCCACACCGAACAGGCACTTAAAGCAATGTCCAAGAAATCCGCGGAAGGAACTGTGCTGACACCCGGCCAAATACCGGTCAGCAGTGTCTGATGCAGCCTGGCTGCGGCCCTTCCTGCGGGCTCTCTGTTGATTGTTGAGCCGAAGCCACTCAATGCCCACCGTCCCAAGTGAGATCAAATAGTTGCGCACCACACACAGCTTGCTGCTATAAACCGCAAGGCGACATGGTGAAACAACTTGAGCCTAACCTGATATTCCAGCGATTTTCCAAGAACCTTGTGCGTCTGCTCAGTCTTTATGGCAATGTTCAAGACAATCAAATTCAATCAAGAGATGCTGCTCCAAATTCGATATGTGTGACGATCTCGTCCAACATCCGATGTGATAGCGCAGTTTGAAGTTGTTCCAGTGGCTCTGTACTTTTGAATTGTAGATAGCACTCTCAAGATTTGAGCCAAACAAAAATAACATACCGGATTGATTGCTTAACGCCAAGGTAAAAATAGACCAGGATGATGTATCCTATCAAATCGTTTATAAGTGTAAAGAATGCTGCTTGAGCAAAAGGTTTTTGTATGCATTGTCAGCATCACCAAACGTATGTAGGATGGAGTTTGAGCATCATAGCTCACCGAACACAACAAAACTCTAAGGATAAACACCTCGTAGGCGGCTGGATCGCGGGATGGCTCCGCCATGACAAAGCGTGGCGGATACGGAAATGCTTTGAGCCCTAAAAAGGTCCGATCCATGTGGGAAAAGCATGATAATAAGGATCTGGTTTTGTGGGATTAGACTTTGAAGCAAAACTGCTGAACTGATAGGTGAAATGCAAAGCTTAACACCTCAAACTCCTTTTTCAACACTATGGACTCTATGGTTGACGGTGAAATCAACAGGCTTGGCCATAGATTTCAATTTCAATCACGCCTTCATTGGACTTTCCCTTGTGGGATGTCCTCAGTTGGCGTATGTCCTCGCGTATCAGCTCCTGCCTGCCATTCAGCCCATTTTGGACAGGCGTATTAATCATGGGTGAAAGCTGTGAAAAAGTCCTTAATTGCTCGATCCATTTGACTCACCACAATTTCCTAAAAATCTAGGAACCAAATGAATAGCGTGAGCTATCCTGCGCCCTAGGTAGAAGCGTCCAGTACCTGGTGGCTACTAACTAGCTTACCTCTTCTATAGCGGCCTACCCCCCCTCAAAAAACAAACAATAAATAAATCAATATCGCGTTCAAAGCATGCTTGCAGTGCTTGTTTACTCCCTGTTGGCGCCCATTGGTCACGTAAACACCTCACGTCACTCCACTGACGGCCTTCTCCGTTTGGCGCCATCTAAGAGCGGTTGCTCGCTGTGGCCTTTCCGCCATCGATTCGCCAACAGCCGGGCCCCATTCTCCGGAAACTTCAGTTCACAGACCTCAGATGACGGTTCGTTCTGATTGGGTGACACCGATCCAAACGATGACATATGATAATGATGGCGATGGCGACTGGTGTTTATGATGGTGTGACAAGAGGCTGAGAAGCTCCTCCATGACCGTCCAAAGGTCCTTCTTCTAAAATGGACAGAGGGTGCACTGTAGGGAGACTTTTCTATTTGGCAGTTCCCACATGCTCAAAGCTCAGACCAGACACATCTTTGTGCTTTGTGAGCTGCACCTCCTGGGATTCCAGTGGCTTTTGCATTAAGGCTTTCTGTTCAGCTAGAAGCTTCTTCATGTGTTCCAGGACCTCTGGAAGATCCGATTCCTGCTTTGGGAAGCGCGACTTCGCCTGGCCAGGCGCTTGAAAACAGTGTGGACTGGGCTCCTTTACAAATCCTTCTCCAATTCGCAAGGACGCTATCAGGTGGAGGCCATCGCAAGTAGGTTGGAGGCCACGGCTACTAGGAACAAAAAGCTACTAGTAGCTCCTGGACATAGCTGTCTGAAATTGCTGCTACTGTGCTAATCCGGTGCACATGCTTTAGCCTGAAGAAAACCCGGCATTGTCGCGTGCAGTTCCCTCCCACCCACGGCTCCTTCATCCGAGGCTTTCCAGGCACATATCCCAAGCGCTTGGCCATCTCCGCAGCCGCCTCGCAGGAAGTCGTGCTTGTCGGCTGGCAGTGAAGCCTGGAGGCAGTGAATCTAGCGAAACGTGGCCCTGTGTGGTCAAAACTGAGGACCCAAACTTAAACACCGATGCTAGTCTGCTAGTTGATTTCTTGTCTTTCAACCAGGCAGTCTTCTTTCAACCAGGCAGTCTTTACCCCACACCGCTTGAATCTGCGACAACTCTGCGGCACCTAGAGACCTTCAAGTTTCTCTGCTTCTGCTGTCGAAGGTTCTCTCTCGCCTGGGACAGTCACGAAACTGCCCAGTGTGACCACATCGAAATGTGGGGTGTCTTTCTTCATGTCATCCCTTTGTTTTGTTTAAATACATTATTATTACTGTTCCTTCTTGGGTTGCTGGAAAAGTGGGAAAACGTTGGGGCTCCAGAAACCCTCGAACCCTCGGTTGTTTCTCAGGCTTTCCTGGGTTCGGACCCTCAAGACTCCGTGGCCGACACGCCACCGGGTTTGGTCTCACAACGATGGCAAACACCCAAGGGCCGCCGGTTTCTCGTATGAATTCAGACACAAATTACATGACCACGGATGAAAATATCAATCTTTTTGAAGTCAACGCTGTAGAAGACAAGGCACCTGAAAGATTTGGGGTGCACTCTGCGGACGGCCCAACAAGGGTTTCCGCAAGGCCTCAGCGCACGCAAACCGGAAGCCGGGAAAACCATCATTGAAAGGTACGCCCAGATGTGTTTAGATTTATAGCTAGCAATCGTTTAAAAGAATGCAAAGGGCGGGATTTAGGAAACATGTGAGCACCTTTCCAAGTCGTCCCCTGCCCTTAGAAGCAACTTGTCACACATGCACATTTCACAGCCACCACTTGGCAAAAACGCGCTGGGAACAAATAGCAAGTGGCTGCCACTATGACGCCTTCAAGTCACTCGCTCTACTGGACAGGTTATTCCTCTGTCATCCTCCAAGTAGGATGCACACACGCGGCCACAGCCTTCTTGATGCCTCAAGGCCCATGAATCGAGGGTGAACAGGCATAGAAAAGGATGCTTTCTGAAAACTGATGGTGAAACAGCATCTCTGTGTATATAGGGAATATAGGGGAAAAAGAAGAAAATAAACATTCATCTGTCTCTTTGATCGACCCAGCCTGTTCCTGATCCAGCTTGTGGGATCATTCGATGGAGACGGAGACCGAGGTCTGACCTCCAGATGTGGCACGTCTTCTAGGCGCAGCGCCCAGAAGAACTGTGGCCGTGCGGGGATCCTCAAGGGCGCCGAGCCAGGCCGCGGCATGGCGCGGAACTCGTGACGCTTCGGCCCCGCTGGAGCCACTGCAGGGAAAACGGCAAACATCCGCCATTGGACGGGTTTTACTTCTAATTCTTGTTTCTATTACAGTAGCTTCTTGCTCCTAGTAGCGATGCCAGGAGCCCCTAGTAGCGTCCTTGCTCCTAGGTTGATTGGAAAATTCCTTCAAGAGAAATTGAGGAAAGTTGGAAACATATAAATCTGCTGACTTAGAGATTTGAGAGGCAGTCAATGAATTCAAGATCGTCGTGGAAACCAATACAAGTAGCAAAAGCTTCTTAGCTTGGGAGCGCTTTGGAGCGAGGAGGCCTCTTCCAAGGTCACATTGGCCAAAGTCCCCAAGACCTGCACTCAGCGCTGGATCCAAGGGTGAAAACACGGAGTTTGGTCGAAGGTGTTTTGCAAAGGAGCTTCGGAAATGGCAGTTTCGGAAGACTGTTGATGACAAAAGCTGGGATGCAGCATCTCAACATTGATCTCAACACAAGGTCGGTGCTGCCCCAAGTTCCAGGTGGTGAATTCCTTTCTGGGCTCACCAGTGCTGATTGGTGCTTACACTAAACTGCTTGGATGGGTTTGGCAAACACTGAGAGTCCATGAGGCGACCCAACAGCCACCTCACTTGTAGAAACGAATGTCTTGCTGTCACTCCACAGTTGATTCTTCTCTGTGTCCTTGGCATCGAACCAGTTTCCAAGTATTCGCTTCCACAGTGCTCTGGCCTCGACGAGGAAGTCAGGGTGGTCGACCGAGCACACGGCCATGCGCACGAATTCATTCATCCACTTTGCCATCCGGACCTCAGCATTGAAAAGGCCCGATTTGGGAAGCCCTGAGGCTCGTGAATGATTGTGTCCACAAAGTCTTAGACCCAACCTTCAAGAATGATTTGGGCTGAAACTGGGCAGATGTGAACGTAAATGAATTCTTGTTTGCAAGAATTGTGCTTGAAATCTCAACCACTACGAATCAAACGCACTTCTGTTGTACGAAGACAACAAGAGCCAAAACTTCTGAGCTCTGCAAACAACAACAGGTGCGGCTGCAAAACGGAAGACCTCCAAATCCACGTGGCGGGAACACACCAGAACCTTCATCCTGATTCATCCTCCAGTTTTGCATCTATTCTCTGAGGTCTGGACGCCTTCAGTGTCCAAGACCTCGCACATCTGTTCCAAAACGCCAGAGTGAGAAGCCACGTTTCGAATCACCTCGCCAAGGGCCGCCGTTGGAGACCTTTGATCACCTTACACTGACTTTAGGACTCTGGCAACCCTACTTAGCCCAAAATTTGATCAAAGTCTCGAACTAGCTTTGTTAAGCGCAGCTCCAGCAAGCTTTCGAGCCCTCCAAGCTTTTTCGGGTCGAGTCTGGCTCAAAGTTCGAAACCCCGTGGCCTTGCAGAGAAGGGGATCACGGTGCTTCATCACACGGAGCATAATTGGAGGAAATAGCCCGCTTTGGACGATGACCTCTCTGCACGGTTTCTGAAGTCGGATATCACAACTTGGATGAAAGACTGATTTCTCATATATTCCCAATATATATTATATATACATATAATCCAGGTATTATACAGCGTAACGCATCACAGAATCTCTGGTCTCAAGAACGGTTTCAGGCCAGATGGTCAGGGCCGTCTTGGTTCAGGGATGACCCGATCGATCCTCTACCTGCTTGTTGCCTCCAAATCGGAAGAGTGATCAGAAATTACCAATGTCAAGAGCTCATGGCGTAAGGACAGTGGCTGCTCACCAATGCTTTTTCAACAAAGATCTCATGTCTTCTGTGGGACCTAGACAATCTTCTGACACTGCAGCAGAAGCAACCTCTTCATTCCTCAGGGACTTGTTCTTGTTGTTGTTGTTGTTGTTGTTGCTGTTGCTGCTGCTGCTGCTGCTGTTGTTGTTGTTGTTGTTGAGTGGTGGTTGCAAGGTCGCCGTTTGGCATTTCCTCTGCAAGTGTCGGGACATGAAGACCGACAAAGGCACCAACGAAGTCCGTCCACTTGCACACGACTCTCGTCTGCATGAGACGGACTGATCGTCTCCCTCGATCGAGTGTCCCAACGTCCAACCCCAACCAAGGGCACAAAAGTGCTGGCAGTCCCCGCGGTTGTCCTGCGTTTCCCTGCCTCTGCCGCACGCGCATTGCTGGCTAAATTTACCATGAGTGCCACCAAGTCCTCACGGAGCCGACGCGAGACGATTTTAATGGGTTCGGATTTAATTTAGGTGTGTTTCTTGTTTTTGTTTGGGATTTTGTTGTTTTTCGTGTTTCGTGGCAGGCGAGGTACTTTGTGGACCTTGAAGTGCAGATTTCGTGGCAGGTGCAGGACTTTGTGGGCCTCGGAGTGCAGATTTCGTGGCAGGTACAGTACTTTGTGGACCTTGAAGTGCAGATTTTGTGGCAGGTGCTAGATAGCTAGATAGATAAACAGATAGAAAGATGGACAGATAAATGGATGGATAGATAGATAGATAGATAGATGGATGGATGGATGGATAGGTACATAGATAGGTAGATAGGTAGATGGGTAGATAGGAAAGAATTAAGGAAAGAAAGAAAGACAGACAGAAAGAAAGACAGACACAATAAAGAAAGAGATAGATAGATAGATAGAAAGATCGATAGACAGATAGATAGATAGATCGAGAGATAGATCGATAGATCGATAGACAGACAGACAGACAGATAGACAGACAGATATAGACAGATAGATGTAGACAGATGGATGGATAGGTAGACAGATTTGGGAGCTGTCGTAGCTGGCAAAATACAATGGAATGGTGTATATAGGTGTCAGAGAAATTCCTACCTATCACAACAGTTTGGTGCAGTTAGCAGAGAAACAGCAAAGAGAAAGAGAACTAGCACAGGAGGCATATTTGCTTGGTTAGAATTTTTTTGCACCGGGGAGTTCACTTTCGTGGCAGGCGCGGGTGTCGGAGATGAAGTGCAGATTTCGTGGCGCCGGGGGGGTTGGGGAGGCGCAGCGCCCCCCCCCAGCAGCACACCAGATCCAAAGGTGAGCAGCTCGTGCTTGCTTGCTTGCTTGCTTGCTTGCTTGCTTCCTTGTTTGGTTTCTCCTCTGCAAAGCAAACAAATGGAAAAGCAAAAGCAAAAAGAGAAAAAGAGAAAGAAGAACAGCTGCCAAAGAGAAAGAAAGAAAGAAAGAAAGACAGAAAGACAGAAAGAACGAATGAAAGACAGAAAGAAAGAAATAAAGATAGATAGATGGATAGACAGACAGATAGAAAGATAGATATAGACAGATAGATATAGACAGATAGATGGACAGGTAGACAGATTTGGGAGCTGTCGTAGCTGGCAAACAGCCAGGCATATTTATTTACACCATATCAGTGAATGAAGACACGAAAAGCCAACAGAAGCCAGCCGAAGCCACGAAAAGGTAAAAAAACACCGAAAGCCAAAGTCATCAAAAGCCACCAAAAGCGAAAAGCCACCAAAAGCCAAAAGCCACCAAAGGAATCGTCTGGATGAAAACAAGACCGTCTTACATCTGGTAGCTGTGCCTCGGACTTCACATTCCTCCAAAGATGGACTAGTAGCAAACAGCCAGAAGCCACGAAAGCAACGAAAGCCAAACGCCACAAAAGCCACAGAAAAGCCAAAAGCCACAGAAGCCACGAAAGCCACCAAAGCCAAAAGCCACGGAAGCCACAAAAGCCACGGAAGCCACACTAGCCACGGAAGCCACAAAAGCCACAGAAGCTACAAAAGCCACGAAAGCCAAAAGCCACGAGAAACAAAAACAAATCCTAAAAAAGAAACAAAGAAGATCCTAAATTAAATGGCCCCCGATTTTAATCAATGGTGCCCCTGAAGTCAAGTTCCCTTCTCTCCAGATGAGCACCTACTACTCTTCAGTGGTGTGGAAACAAGGGAGAGACTTTCAAAATGTAGCCAAATGCTTGCTCAAGTAATATATGCAGAAAAGTAACTAGCGAATACCAACTGTGCCCACTACTGCACCATGTTGCCTTCTTCTCCAGTTGATCTGAAGAAATCGGTCCTTGCCGACACGCGGCTCTGGAAAGTGCACCACGAGCTGCAACAGCATGATCATGCCGTCCTGCAAATAGCTCCACCGTCAGCAATGAAATCTCCTTTTGTTTAAGCCCGGGGGGGTTGGCCGTAGAGGAAGGTAGTAGCTAGGTAGCTCATCTGACTGGATGCCCAACACCCTGGACTTGCCTCACGCATTGTCAGGCCATTATTTTAAGAGATCCGAACCCTGCCGATTTGCCTTGGGCCCAGAAGAATTCCATTGCTTTTACACTGACATGCATCTTGATCTCAGCATTCAGTCCCTGTGGTAGGCCATCAGTGACTTGCATCGATCGTCCATTGAAAAGTGATACCTCGGCAGTGTGGATGTTCCTTTCTCTTGTAGCTCAATTGTGGGTTGATACACGAGACTTTTCCTTAGCACTGATCATCTCCCAAATCACTCAAAGAATCTCAAAGACTGCAATGCTTTGAATCGGTAGGCCAAGCGGATGCATCTGTTCGGATAGTCTGAATTCATAGGAATCCAATCGAAGCACAAAAATTCAAACCGCACGTGTCACCCTCTTGAGGCCCTGGCAACAACCGAAGGACGATGTGCCGGAAGGGCGGGTTCTTCAGCAGATCCACCTGATGCAGGGTTTGCTGCCCCCAAGTTGCGCTAAGGAATTGATGAAAATCTCAGTTTATGTTCAAGGAGCACAATAAAGTCTGCTCTCCTGCGGTCCAACTAACACATTCCAGCTTTTAGCACCAATTGCCGCTGCTGCCCTTGGCTTCACTTGAATTCTTCACCCCGTTCAAGTCATAACAGTGACAACACCCACGACGGTCCAATAACCCCCCGCGGCGAACCAGCAACTTGACGATTCCGCTCTCCACCAGGGCAGCGCGCACGCGCTCGTTGAAAGAGAGGTTGAACCTCTACAAGTCACAAGTCAAATACTTGTTTACAGGTCATCTATTCCCAAACCTCAAACGACCAGAAAAGGAAGATGAGGCAAGTAAGACCCGGACAATAGCCGCAGGGACAACAGCGCAATGCGCTGGTTCTGATGCTGCGCCAATCTCACCAAGTTGGAGAGTGTCTCAGGAACAGCAATCTGATCCTCGCGAGTGGCAAATTGAGAGGAGGCCAGAGGATTGCATCAACTGCATTTCTGACTGTTCGAAGAACAAGTAAAAGCAAGTGAAGCACAAGTTGTCAGGTTGTCCTTAAAAGCACATCCCTAAGATTCTTTCAATTTGTGCTGCTTGGCAGAGTGCAACAGCCAAGTAAGTTGCATTCTCCTTGTTTTCCTCAAAGACGCTCAGCTTTTTGAGAAAGGTGAGCACCACTAGGAGCAAGTCTTCTTGCGTCCTGTAGAAGATGTTGAACGAAAATCAAGGCTCTTTTTGAGGTCAAGACTGATTTGTCCTTGAGCTGTCTCTCTCTCTCTCTCTCTCTGTGTCCCGTCTTCTCTTTCTTGTCCAGAAGTCAAAAAAAATAAACAGAAACCTCCATTGCACAGGACCTGGAAGATGAAGGAGTGTACTGTTGACTGCTTCGAGATTGCACACATTTTCAGCCCAGACGATTCAATCAAGAAAAAGGAACAGACTGTTGTCGTTTATTGCCTATCCTTTGCCAGACTGTTGGACAATCTATATACACCATTCTTGGAGTGCGTGAACTCTAGGTCTAGGTTTGTTCCGCGTCCTGTCCAATAACTGGATGAGAAGATGGGGTATCTTCCGATTCACCTCAAGTTTGACCAATCGAGGACGCACAGGTCTGCATAACAGGACTCAAAAAGATCTTGTTTCAAAAGCCTTCAAACCCTTTAAGCAAACCAAAGAAAGAGGTAGCAAAGTGATCCGGACACCTAAAGAATGTTGCAAAATCCGTTCTCCCACAGTTTTCACGATGAGCCGTGTCGACCAGGCCATCTTTTTCTCGATGGAGATCTCCTCAGCCAAGTTCAGCCTCAGGGATCAGGTGGTCGGGGCGGTCCAACGTGAGAATTTGCATAAGAAACTCCAAAGGGTGCCTTATCATGATGTATCCTCGTTGCGGGCCTTTATCACCGAATGATTCAAATGACACTGTTCCAACTAGGCAGAACCGGCTGTAACCAGTGTGTTCTTTTGATGCAAATGTAACTTGGTGTCAGAATCAACCTCATGGTTATCATTAAGAAAATCCTGGAGCAGTGCATCCTAGAAACTCCCGGTTATGCAACTTTTGAGAACAGTCCAAAGCGCCACACTGCAGGAGACTTCGTTGAACTATCCACTTTTGCAAAAGGTGTTCATGGAATCGAATCTGTGAATCAAATCATCCCTTTGATAATTTCATGCGTAGAGATTCTCGCAAACCTCCATGTCCTGTGAATGACCAAAACCAACTAAATGAAACACCTAGCTAGGGACGCCATTGGACCATTGCCCAAAAACAACGAAACAAACTGAGTGAGAAAATTTCGACCATCATGGGTCTCCGCAGTGTGTTTGCTTGGGTCTTTGTATGGCGTACAAGCACATAAGAATTAATCTCATTCACAGAAAGCATTGCAACCGCAATGCTGCTCAGCCCCTGGCAGAACACAAAGGCAAACATGCATCAGTTTGTTTTGTTTTATCAGCTGTAGCCTGTACCTGAAGCTGCAATGGTTTGCATCGCTCCAGCACATGAAAAATTGTCAGCATTGATCGTTCCCTGACAGGACATGGGTTCTTTGACTAAATTTGTGGTCCATACTAAATTAGCCCGCTTGTCACTTGTCTATGCATCGAAAGACACACCACCATTCATGTAGCCGTGAAATTTGTAGTTGCTTTGGATGTCAAAAGAGGCTTCATTCTCCTTGCGCACTTTTTCTCATCCTTGGCAAAGAGCTTCTTATCCTGAAAGACATAGAGAGTCAGTCCGGAGAATCTGGTGACTGTTGGGGCCCTCTCTTAAGAAAAGAAGATAGTGGCCACAGTCTCCGGCCGCGCCCCTGAACCTTGTGCCCGGGCGTTGGCCTCCTGTTATCCTTTTCTTGTCCTCCAGATGTCCTGCTGTTGTCCTGCTGTCCTCTGGCCAAGCTGGCGAACCCTGTACCCTGCTCGTGTCCTCCTGCCACGCTTGCGGACCCTCTGTCCTCCTCTTGTCGTCCTGATGTCCTCCTGCTGTCCTCTGGACACGCTTGCAAGCCCGCGCTGGCCTGAACCTTGTCCTCCTGTCTGCTGCAGCGCGGAGTGAGAGCGCCTGAAAGGGTAGGTGCGGCCGAAGAGCCGGAAAACACCTTAGGGTTGGCCAAGTTCCTGGCTCAGCTTGATGCCAGCTGGCCTGTCTAGGAGGCCAAGTTTTTGAAAGCTCCAAAGAAGGAGCGGGCCCTGCCGAAAGGCCGTCCAACGGAAACAAACAAACAGCTGTCCTCCTGTTGTCCTCTTCTTCCAGTTGTCCTGGTGTTGTCCTCCTCGTTTGGCTGGGGTGAATTCTGTGGGGCGTTGTCCTCCTCTTGTCCTCTAGTTGTGTGGCCGTTGTCCTCCTGCTGTCCTCTGGCGATCCCTGTGTCCTCCTTGCGTTGAGTCTGAAACGGCCCCCCTCTGAAGCGGCCTAAGCCGGAGTCCGATCAGACACCAGTCCCACCTCGATCACGCCAGCCATCCTGAGCAACACCCAGAAGTGAAAGGAACTGGTCCTATGCCAGGTAGTGCTTCAAGAGATCGTAGATCGTTTCCCCAAGCTGCAAACCAAAGGCAGTCAGGACCCCCTCTGGACCACAGCTATCAACAATCCACTCCAAGTCAGGATCCGCCAGAAGAAGCTGCCCAACAAGACCCCTATCACGGGGGAGAAGATCCAGGGCGCATTGGAGGAACTCCTGGGGCTGACGAAGACCTCCGGTTGTACGACACCTCGCATTGGATGAGTCACAACTCGGTGTGGGCGCTGATAGAGGCACGGCTTAGACAGCATACCGTGCGCCCGACACAACTGGTGACCCAGCTGCTGAAGAACCATGGCTTGCTGCAGTGATGAGTTGGCGCCTGGTGAATCAGGCTACGGCACGCTGGCTTAATGCTACGGTCGTGACATTCTTTTGGGGCCAACGTTCACGTCAAAGGATCCACTGGCAGGACCTTCACTGGGGGCGTGAGATGTTCCAAGCCCCGCGCAGTCGCGCTGACCGGAAAGTCAGCAGGAACTCCTGACCTTTACTGGACACTTTTTAAAGTGGTGTAGACCACACTTGGTGGACAACACCTGGGAGCGCCGCTTTACTGAGAATGTGATGGTCAAGTGTCACGACCATGGGGCGATTTGGTCCGATCATCTTGACTCCCTCAGTCGTGAAACAGACAACACAGGAATCGCAGACATGTGTTGATGAGTGGCATGAGCAGTATGGCATGGTCACGGCTCTAGTTCATGCTCGTCCACGCCTGACGCTGCACATTGAAAAGTCCATGCTTCTGCCCCAATGTGAAGCCCACAAGGCCGACTGGCAGCTGACAGTGGACCACGTTGCGTGCAAGGTCTGTTTGGGATCTACAGGGGTGAATTTCGTTCCAAGACAATCAGGAAGCCCAGGATCAGCATGCTTTGCATTTCGAACCTGACCAAGATTGTTCTTTTGGTTTGGCTGGCGAAGGCAGATGCACACTTGATCAGTCAACCGGCCTCCACTCCGTCTGCCCTCCTGAAGGAGGGGCTTGTGACTCATTTTGCTATGCACAAGGGAACTTTGCAGTCTCGCACCTGACTCGACTGCTGAGGACCACTTGTCCGGTCTGTGGCATCCCGCTCATGAACATGCCCCTATTTGAGGCCCATTGAGGCGACTTGGCCGCACTGGGAGGAGGAATGGTTGCCTTGCTCGTGGGCCTTTCTTCTCCGCCTTGTGAAGGCTTTGTCCAGAGCTTGTCAGGGTCTGGTTGGGCCTGCTTGTCCGCGTTGGCCGCCCTTTTATCACTGCCTTGTCCGCATGTGACCCCGGGAATCCGTTCCCAAACAGCTGGAGGCTGCAGGAATGTTGCTGAAACTGTTTGGGGTCTATGCTGGCATAATTCCTTTTTAGACGTTTCTTCCTTAGACCTCCTTTTAGCCCAGGGGGTAGGCCGCTAGAAGAGGTAGCTAGTAGCTTAAGTTTAAGTCAGCTTCTCGTAACTGGACGCAGGATAGCTGCATGGTCCACAAGGTCTGTCAGGTCAGGGCTGGGACAATAGAATATACAAAATTTGCACAAAAAGGTCCGGACATGATCTTTGTTTTGGTCCCAGGTTTGAACACTTGTGACTTAAAGTTGTGCTTTGCAGGACCCGAAGACCCCTCCTCAGGCGTGCAGGTATCGCCCAATTCTTGCAGTCTCATCTGCCGCCGGAGCATATCTTCCTTGCGCACCTGCAAGATGCACTATCAGTGCAAGTACAACGTGCATCATGGACATGTCTGTCTAAACGTAGAATGTTAGGCGAGCACTATACTATTGTATGAGTTTGGTAAGTGGGCACCTCATTCGTCAGTCAGTCCTTATTATAGCATTTGGATTCAGTGTGATTCTCACGCTCTCATTTGGTGGTTCCTGATATCCTTCCACCTTTTTCTGCTCTTCAATATGGACTTCCACAGTGCTTTTGACATGCCAATGCCAATCGAGATTCTGGGACGTGATCATTACGTAAAGGAGTTCTTCTTTCGGGGCATTTGATAAGTGCTCCAATATCTGCAACCAAAGTATTTCGAGGGACACCTCAATGCGGGACACACCCACTGAGAAGCCACTGCTGCTCCTGTCAAAAGGATGCGTCTCGGCTGTAGATAAACTCTCTGATCTCTGGCTGGAAAGCAAAGCCCTCCAAACTGATACTACTAGTAGCTATACACATAAATACACTGTTGCTTCGCTTCCCAAGATCCGATCCCTCAAGCAGTTCGCCCTTCGCGGGCCGACCCGCCTGAGCTCGTTGGCTCTCGTACTCCAAGACTCGCATGGTGACATCACCGCATTGGTTCTGCATCAGAACGGGATGAAACCTCAAGGCGAGGCGTGCGGCGTGCGGGACTGGCCAGTGAGGCCAAGCTACCACCCTCTGTGCAGGGTCAGTGGGTGAGAAAAATCAAGATTGCTCGAAGAGAGGTGATTTTTTGCAAGGCCGTGTTTTGGTCCGAGCTTGTATGGAAGCATCGCAGGTCCCGCATCGTCCAATTAAGACACCCACTGCGTGAAGTGGGAGAAGGTCAGAAAAACACACACCTGCCGTGGCTGAAGGGGTGTACATTGGTAAACGATCAGGCTTCTGAACCAAGGGTTGTGTTGTTGTCAGGTTCGTGTGAAACATATTCAATGAGCAGTTGAGCTTACAAATACACTGCCTGGTGCTATTTATTTACATACAACTGACCCATTTCGATTGCAACTGTTGCATGCATTGAACCTCATGATTGTTGCTTTGTGCGCCAAGCAGGACCTTTGTCAATCGGAGATGAAGAATGAATCTTTAGGTCAGCCTGAAATCGGGTTACCCCATATCCCATTTGCATCCATATTGTTTGAGAGATGCATATACAGTATATATATATATATATATAATAATTAATATATATTATACATACTGTATATGTGTTTGTTTCTCGGTGCACTCACCAGTCTTTTGGCTCCTTTTGCGAAGCTCGTGGCGCTCCTGACCACTGTCCCGAGCGGTCTGCAAGCGTTCCAGGGCACGGTAGTGGCGTCCATCGGACGTGTCACCCAGGGGCATCAAGAATCCTCTAAGGATCCCTTTTGGACGTGTCGCTGACACGAAGATGATGCGCCGAAATCGACTGCGCCTCCAAGGCCTTCCACGTGTTGGGGGGTACTAGAGGTTTATCCCTAAGAAGCATGAAAAGTGGGAAAAATAGCTCAACATCCCGTTTAAGGCAGAAAGTATGATGTACCAAAAGGGTGTCTTGGGCTATGAAGCCTCGGAAATGGTGTTAGGAGCTTTGCCGCTTCAAACTCGGTTGCGCTCTTCGAGCGAAGGAGCATGAAGTCAGTCAAGGGCGCGATCACGGCGGTCGATGCTATTGCCTGTGCGACACACAGGCTGGTGCAAAATCCGATACAGCATTAGAAATTGCGCTAGTAGGTTCGAGGCCATCGCTAGTAGGTTCTCCACCAATGAACAGTACCGCAACATCCTTCGTTTCAGTTGTGTTTCCCACTCTTCGACTCTGCACACGATCGCATTGTGGGCCTGTGTCCAGCAAGTCCATCGGCGCCAACCCGTTCTCCCTGGTGTCTTTGTCACGCCGTTGGAGGCCCAAACCTGTCGTCGTCCACTAATCACCGACTCACAGTCACACGTGTTTCGGAGTTTCGAAGCAGCATCCTTCACAAAGCTGCTTCAAAGGAGCCAAAAAAAATGTGTTGCTAGAATTTGAGAATAAATTCCCTCTCTGGGTTGTTCTACATGAAACAGAGCCTCAAAATGGTAACTTCGCCGCAAATGATCTTCTGCGGGGGTCCACGACTTTCTGCTCTAGACAAAAACAATGATGTTTTCACAAGTGTATATAGTTTACAAATTATCTAAGAAGCGTTCAATTGGAGCAGTCCAACGACCTGCAGCCCAATCATCATCTTCTCGGTCTGCATACCTCACTTGGCGATGCTTGAGCGAGATCACGCCTGACCCACGACTGAAGAAAAAGAAATCCTCCTGGATCCTCCCAGCCACTACAGTAATCAACAAGACCGAAGCTGCAGATGATCCAGGCTTCGGGCGTGAAGCCATCCTCCAAATGCTCTGCCTCGTCATCGCCAATGACAAAAGCGTCAAAGCCTCCGAGAGCAGAAGCCGTCATTGATCAGAAACCACACTTTCGATTACAAGGGACAACTTTGAAGTGTTCCTGCTGCAACACGATTGCTGTCACTTGAGGTTCTTCTTTCTTCGGACGACCTCCAAGCCACCCCCTATTTTGGAACCTTTGCCATGGCTGCAACGGAATGAACAACCACAGCGACATGATCTTTTGGTCTTCCTCAAAAGGTTATTGTTTGCTGCGTTCCACGCAACTCAAGACATTGGACATCACTAAAGAGAGCGAACCGTCCTGCCTGCGTCGGCAGCTCCCACAATCTGCGGAGGCCTCAGAAAGTTCGGTCAAAACCTGCAAGTCAACAAATTCCGCTTTTTGGGTGCCCACAGGTCCGTCCACCCTTGACTAAGTGTTGTCACCAGGTTTTCTTTGTATGTATGTATGTATGTATGTGTGTATGAAGTTGTGTCTGTATGGATGTATGCATGGATGTATGTAGGTCTGGATGTAGTATGCATGGATGGATGGATGGATGGATGGATGGATGGATGGACGGACGGACGGACGGACGGACGGACGGATGGATGGATGGATGGATGGTATGTATGGTATGTAGGGTATGTACGGTATGTATGGCATGCACGGCACGTATGTCATGCATGTCCTCTCCGCCATGTATGCTATGTATTGCACGCAAGCATGCAGGGATGAATCCATGCATGAGTGCATGCATGCATGCATGTAAGTGTATGTATGTCTGTCTGTCTGTATGTATGTAGGTATGTATGTATGTATGTACGCGTGCGTGCATGGATGTATGTATGGATGTATGTATGTACAGATGTATGCATGGGGGTATGTATGTATGTATGTATGTAAGGATGGATGGATGGATGGGTGGGTGGATGGGTGGATGGACGGATGGTATGTAGGGTAGGTACGGTATGTATGGCATGCATGGCACGTATGTCATGTATGTCCTCTCTGTCGTGTATGTCATCTAAAGCGCGCAAGCACGCAGGGATGAATGGATGCGCGCATGCATGCACGCACGCACGTATGTCTGCGCGTATGTATGTATGTTGTCTGTCTGTCTGTCTGTCTGTCTGTCTGTCTGTCTGTATGTATGTATGTATGTGTGTGTGTGTATGTATGTGTATGTAAATGTATGTTTGTATGTATATGTCTATGTATGTAAATGCAAGTATTTGTATGTAAATGTATATTTGTATGTATATGTGTGTATATGGATTTATGTGTGTGTGTATACGTCGGTATATGCTATGTATGTATGTAAAGGTATGTGCGTATGTGTGTATGTATGTAGGTAGGTATGTATGTATGTATGTACGCACGTATGCGTGTATGCGTGTACGCATGTATGTATGCGCGCGTGTAAGCATGTATGCACGCAGGTATGCGTGTATGTATGCGTGCACGCACGCGCGCACGCATGCATGTATGCATGTATGCATGTATGCGTGTATGCATGTATGCATGTATGCATGCATGCATGTATGTATGTATGTATGAGGCGCATAGTGGTGCGCTGTTGCGCCGGTGAGACTATGGCTGGCGCAAGGTACGCTTTCGCAAGTAAGGGCGCTTGGGGGCAACCCGCCGCCGCGCCATGGCTCACATGGAAGAAAGGCATCGTCTTCTCTTCTGCCACACTGGCCTTGATACCTGTGTAGAGTTGCATGGCCAGCTCCAGTGCCAGGGGCGGCCTCGTCAGCGAGATGGTCATAGGAGGTGGGCGCGTCCATCAAGACAGCGATGCCACGTTGGTTCGTAGCCTTGGTGACCTCCTGCGTTCAGGAGTACCAGCGCCACGTAGACGACGGGCAGGGTGCGCTGCGCTGCCACTCATCAACAAAAGCCGGCACCAGGCTCGGTAAAGGATTGAAGTGAGTGCTATTGGTCCTTCTATCTGAGAATTTTTTGCCAGCATCACCACCATGTGGAGCCTCAACTGAGATGGAAGACACGCCTCTTTTTCCATCTGCTGGATGAGCTTGGGAATAGACGGAGCAGAATTGAAAACCTGCGTCGACACAGCGTCTGGCGCGCTGGCTATGTCTGGCAGGGGTTTCAAGACCCTCTTGAGGTGGCCTACGGTGAGTTCAGGAAGTTCACGAGCATGGTGCTGCGCCAGTTCGGTGATGGTCGTGGTAAAGCAGCGCCGTCGTCTCGAAGTTGCCACAAGGAGCCCCAATCCTGCAGCCTGGCTGCCATCCTCTCTTGCATGGGCCCAGAGATAGAGTGTGGACGCACACTTGGCAAAGACCCAGCCTTGAGATCTGGTGTCATAGGTCGTGGGCGCTGCATCAATAATGGTGACAGCATAGCCTTGGCCGGGTGTTGCCATGACCCATAGCCCAGCAAGGAAGCTTGGCCAGTGATGTGGTCATAGCGCTCCTTGTTGATCCAGGCTCGCACACAGCGGGTCTTCATCAGGGTTGTTGACGCGTACCGTCCATTCAATGGGCAGAGCCTGGTGGCTCTTGCCCGTCTTGCCCTGGGACGGGCATTGTCTCGGAGTTGTCCTTGAGCCGGATGGCACCTTGGACCCAAGTCTTCAGGGCTGTGAGTGCAGCTTTGTTGGCTCGCTTGGCAACTTTGTGGTAGACTGCCCAATCCATGCCATTCCTCATGTCCACACTCTTGAAGGAGTAGCTGTTCAATCTTCGACCAAGGATCCCGGTTATCAAGCCGCATCTCCGGCCCGTAGTCAGCACTGGGTTGATGCCATTGGTAGAAGTCAGCGATTTTTCATTGCCATTCCCACATGTAGGCAATGGCAACGGCCATGGGTCCTTTGACCTGATACAAGGACGCCGCTGGCGTCTGAGGTGCTCTTGGAGCTGGGTCCAGGCTCCGGCAACATGGCCCTGATCAGCCGGCCAAGCGTCCAAGAGGGCTTTGAAGGCCTTGATGTGTTGGACAATGACTTGATCACCAGGATCCTGGTACTTCTTGGCGTTGATGTCATAGACAATGTCCAAGAGTCCTCCTCTGTGATGTCCCAGCTTGGTGGCAATGGATGTATCCTTTTTTCTTCTGAAGTTGCTGGATTTGCGCCCTTTGGGCCGGTTCGTTCCTAGTGGCCAGGCTCAGTGGATTGCCTTCTCGAAAGAAGTCGACCGTGATGGGATCATCTCCGCGCGGTTCTTCTTCTGCGCTTTCTGCGCTGTCACGGCCGCGGGTCGGGGCCGACGGTGCCTCAGAGAGCGCGGCCCGAGAAACGGAGCTTCTTCGGGGCAGGTGGAGACAGACTGGTAGCGCGGCTCGCTCGCGGCGGTGTCACCTCATGTGGCTGGGGTTCGACGGTGGCTGCCCAACCGGCTGGGTGTCATGGCCAGTGGTGTTGGTCTGCCCTTCATCATCGCCTCGTTGTGGAGGGCTGGGTGTCTGGCTGGTTTGACTGAAGAAATGTGGCAGAGTGGGGGA